TCAAGTGCGAATAATATATTCTAAAATCCTAAGAGTGCCTATTCMGAATTTCAGTAAAAGCAAAAAACATAAAAATGACTAAATTGTGTAATTTTWGCACTTGTGTGAGTGCACTAAATCTGTGAAACAAAACAAATTAAGTAATTATGCTAGTTATTGCTTTGTTTTCTTCTGTCCAATTTGCACTTTTTAGTAGTGATTAGTAATATTAGTTTCACAGATTTAGAGCATGAACAATCACAAAAAGCTATGAAACACATAACTAAATTGTGCAAAATAATATTGTATATAATATTATAATAAGTATAATTGATCAAAGGAAGAAAAAAGAATTGGTTCAAAATAGTATCATTATTGTTTCACAATTTCAGTGAATGCACCCTATTATGGGCTTTTAACACAAGACAGCTTGTGTTAGAGTGATTTTCAGTAACCTGGGAAACACACTTTAATGCCCTACAATTTATTACTCTCATAATGCACATTTTTCTTCTTTTTTTTGGTGTCACACTTAACTACATTTTTTGMTATTACTCTCTGCTCCACGGGTTATCGAAAACCACTTCTACCTGATCCCCATTGATAAGAAAACATCAAGACATCCTATTAGAATTCAGAAAGTGAGTCTCAATGAATGTAAAGAAAATTAAGGGGCATTTTCAGGATTTGTCATTAAAGGTATTTAGCCTAACAGGAACCCTATGATCCYGTCCTAAATATGTCCCTCCTCTAATGGCTTTTAACTCTGTCTAGTTCTAACTTTAATACGCATGAAAGCAACAGAAMACGGATTTTGTACAAATCTGTAAAGTATTTTGTCATCTTAAAGTTTTCATCTATATATTTATTGCATTCTGTTTACTTCTCTAATAATAAAACATGTTTTATTATATTAAATTGATATTTTTAGAGATCCATTTGTTAACTTTTCCCCTTYGGCCACAGCCAGATGGCWGCTATAAAACCTGGGACAACAATTCCAACTATAATCCCTAATACTGCAAATCCTCGCCATCCAATTCCCCAAACATTCCCTAAGTCTCTCTTCTGTGCTTGAAGTTTTAGAGGATGAATGCAAGTCACTGTTAAAGTTCTTGCCACTTCATCTAAATTAGCTTTCCGCAGTGATGCTCCTTTGCAAATCATTTTYAAATCCTCGTCCATATTGCGTAGAAAGCTATGTGGGGAATCTAATGCTGATCTAATACTTATAGTTCTAACTTCYTCATCATTGTCATTATTATCGTCATCATCAAGTTCTCCATTTACAGCAGAAATTGAAGGATCAAGACTCAAGGGCTTTGGTTTATTTTTTTGCTTTTCATCTTCTTCTGCAAGGATGCCATGTGGTTGAACAGGAATTTTTATCTTTTGTAAAGCATGAAAATCTTGTTCTGAGTAAAGGTTATTTACTCGTTTAATTTCTTCCATCTGCAAAAAAGAAAAAAAAATCAAATCAAATKGTCTTACTAAAGCCATTCAAAGTCGAATTTAGTAAGTAAAAGAATCATCACCATCAATGAAAAGAACGAATGAAAAATTYGAGAAGTTGTAAAGCTTCTGGAATTCACGAAATGTCACAAAGAAATGTAATTAGGAAAGGTTGAGAAGTTACAACCTCACTATAAATTTCTTTGTAAATGGCCTTTTAGAATGTAAAATTCATTAGCTTGTCTAAGTGACCATACTTTTAGTTTTCACATGATGTCAACCCYACAAACATTTCAAYCATTGATCCACATGTGTGCTARACCATTTCAAAAACAATCACATGAAGTTTCACACAATAATAGACATATTAGAAATTGAATAAGGATGCATTAAGTTTCACACAACAACACTTGCTGAAATTTCAAACAAAATTTAGGATACATGTGCTTTTTTGTTGATATATATTTTCATATGATCTTTTTTAAAWTACTGATTTTAGATGATAGATTAATAAATAATATGCAAGTGTTTCCTGGTAAGACAGACTTCTTTGTGCCCCTCTGTTCCCAGTGATTACAGTATATCTCTCCTACAGGGGACAGAGAGATACCAGTGAAGTATCTCAAACCAAGAAAGTAAAATCCTACCAATACAGCCATTATGTTATAATCATAAACAAATATCAGTTATCATTTCTTAGATATCTTTATTATATTTTTATTTCCTTCAACCAGTCTAAAATTAACATTTTGCTAATTGATTTTATACATGTTTTCACAGGAGACAATACAAAGGCTCATGGATTGAAAAAAAAGATATTATTTCTCTTGTGACATCGATATGCTTTCACTTATCATTGGAAAGAAAATCAAATATAGGATCACTACTTTTAAGGCCCCCAGTGTCCAATCATCTAGCTCAATTAATATAAAAAACATGTACATGTGAAAAATACATTAAAAAAATAATACAATGAGCCAACCAGCAAAAGTTTTTTTACTGTGAGTAAATTATTGATAACGGTGACATATAAAGACGGTTAGGGTCAATTAACATGCCGATAAATAGTGTAYACTCACCGTACAACCGAAGTTGAGAGCGAACTTTTGTAAGGTATCGTCAGTATGAATTTCTCGCTCGATAAGATGGCTTTTGTTAAATTCTTGCGAGTATAAACTTGTCGAATAGTGTGATTTACCCCTTGATCGCACTTCAGACATTTCATACGCATCGTCGACGGATWTATCCTCCGTTGAATCATTCCCAAATACATAAACTCGAGACGCCGCTCTGTTCTGGACTTCTCCTCGAAAAGATTCATTTTCAATCTTTAGCTTCGAATACTTTGAGTAGCCCGCTCTTTTGCTCATAATACTCGGTCCCGCCGTAAAGACTAACTAGAGATTAACATCGTCCAGGTAAAGTTCTATATTTTCCTGCTAACGATYTGTAAAAAACACTGGAAGTATTGATTTTCACAATCTATCTCGACATCTTGTCCGCCATGTTTGTTACACGTCAGTTTAGCCACTCGTAACCAATCTTTTATCCGATCACACGGATACTTCAARCCGGGGAAGATTAGAAACTAGCAAAAATATTGCAAAAATAACGAGAAGGAGCGGAATGAGTCGAAAGGAAAAGATTTTCTTTCAAAAAAGTTAAACAAAGATATAATATATTGGAGAATAAAGTCACAGAATGGAATAGAATATAAAAAGTTGAATTATTCAATGGACTTCGATAGTATGTGGAATTTCATGTGGAATACCCATAGACAAAAAAATGTCAAATTGGCCATTTTTGAATTTTTGATACATTAGGAGAAAAAATTCAGTAYAAAGCAGAAGAAGATCAGTAAACTCAATCCCCGAATACAGCTGCATCACATCGCGTGTTAATGTCATGTGCGATTTGASTATAGGCTCTTGGGATCCCTGTGCTCACGAATACCAAGCGAGCCGTGGACTCGATGCCGAAGAGAATGTGAAGCTTGTTTACAGATGTTGGGCGAGCGATATTTTGGGGTTTTGCGGCGTGACGGACTAGTATATCTTTTAAATAACTAAATAATCTTTCCTTTGATTTATTGATCGTGATATGAAAACAAAGAAATCATCATTTTGCTGGATAAGAAAGATCAGGGAACATCTCTTCGAGCTTTGATTGTCGTAATTTAGCCTTCGAGTCGAGTCTCGCATGTGTTTAAATAACTTTATATTTGGATAACAACTTCTCTACAAATAATCTTTTAACTATGTCTTCATTGAGAAGGAAGTCAAAGTCTCCAAAAGGTAAGATTTGTATTGTGTTATCAATACAAAGATGTCTTAACTTATTGTATTGATATTGTCCTTTCCCTTGGATACGGCAGGACAAGTGTTCTGTAGATGTAGTTTGATTCGGCGGTTTTCTATGATAATGATTTTGTACACAAAAGTGAAAACCGTTATATTCATAAATATATTTATATTCCAAACTTTCGTTATGTATGTCGTATTAGCTTAAGTGTATGTTTTCATTACAGTACAAATTCATGTCGCAAGTGCATGTTCTTTCACCTTTGTCAAGAGCTATCGATATCTCTCTTAATTGTTAATTTTTGCATTGTTGTCTTATTCCAAGTGCATATTCAAGTATTGTGTTTTCCTAATTCCCAGAGAGATATTGATGTCCTTCTATCATTCAAAGCAGACAAAACATTGCTWTCTTCAGAATAAAAACATTTCCTATTTCATGTTGACCTTGAACAAAATGAGTTTATAATAGCCTGYCATTACTAACAGTTTGGCATATTCCCTATTAGTAAATTTGATTATTTCTATATTTTTTGTTATTCAATGTCATTCAAAAGTGTAATAGCATTTTAGGGATGGGCTATTATAATCATTAGATTTCTATGAAATAGAAAATACAAGGAAGTAAAAACTTCAAAAAGAAAGGAAGGGATTTAGACAGGAAGCAAGAAGGATAAGTGTTGACATCAAATACACTAGAGTGGATGTTTCAGTAATTAACTGAAAGTTAGAAATAGTTACCTAAATCAGACTACTGTTGACAGTATAGTATTATTACAGTTTCTGATGTCGYATACTTTGAAAAATGGTAAGTTGCTAGGTGTTTTTATAACCTAGCTGGATCTATGTAGGTCTGATGTTAATGGGATCAGCCACTTCCTCATACGATTAGGTCTGATATTATAAAAAAACTATGATTTTAGATGATACAATCTAAAYCTCCTGTTAACTATTTTTATCTTCCTTGAGGGAACTTGACAGCCTGAGGCCAGTTGTGTACAAACCAAAGGGTGAAAAAAGTTAATATCCTCTCTGGGGATTTTGTATTGATCTTAACCACTGGATATCGCTATTCGTCTTTATACAACCAGATCCCAATGGGAAAATTGATTAAAAGAACAAGTTTTCAAATCAACATCCAGCATTTCGAAGGCTCAAATTGATTTGTTTTGACTATAGACAAAAATCGTTGTGCGATAAGATGAATGTAAAGTAATTAAAAATTAATGCTTTGACTGTGAGTGAGGACCAATGTCTGATACATTCTGAGTCTTTTTAAGTAAAATATGGTGTTCGGTAATGAATTATCGCATGTTTAATGTGGATTTACTAGTGTTATCTGAAAGMTAAAAGTGTTWTCAAGTATCTTTTAGTTTACTGCAGGAAGGGGTTACACTTTATAGAGTGGCATGAGCTAGTTTAAGCCATAATAAAGGTATAAAAAGTACTGCTTATTAAGCATTTACCCTTCAGAAACTATTGCTTCTGGTGTATTATTCAATCTTAAAAAATGAAAAATTGGTAACTTCAAAATTCAACAAAGAAAGAATACATCATTTGTAAAATATTTTTAAATGATTTTTTTTCAGAACCTGATCGTATTTTACAGACCAATGATAGAGACCACAACAAGCAGTTTCATTTTGCTGACAATTTTATCAAGACTTCCAAGTACACACTTCTCTCTTTCCTGCCAGTTAACTTATTTGAACAGATGCAAAGGGTYGCCAACTTGTATTTTCTACTGCAAATAATAATTATGGTAATATTCCTGTAGTTTTTGATGACAAGTRTTATCTGTCAGTCTGTCAATTGAAAAGTTAATTTCAGTCAGTTTTCAGACTCAATAATTCAGTGAATAAATTAGCAWAAGAGCTAAACTGTAAATCAGTTAATTGACTGGCCAATCAATCAACATATGTCAGTCAGTTGGTCAGTTCAGTTAATTGACTTATCARTCAAACAAGCTGTCAATCAATCAATCAGTTAATCAATGAACCATATAGCAACAATATTTAACTTTAGATCTTTTGGTTCGATGACTTTGTACAAAGAACGTACACAAGGCTCTGRGAAAACAATGGATAATCTTGATTTATTCTTTTATTTCCCCGAAGCCTCGTCTGCAATTCTTTTGTGCATGAATGAACATGAATGAACTAATAAACAAAGCAAGTTTTTCACTAAAATATCCCATATTATCAGTACGAAGCACTTGCATACTGTATTGATTTTCCTTTTCCTCTTAGTCAATTCCAGAGATCACTGCTTTAAAACCAGAAGCAACAATTGTACCACTGTTATTTGTGCTTGGTGCTACTTGTGTGAAAGATGCTTATGATGACATTGTAAGTTATATAGTCAAACCTTTCTCTGAATTGATCATTATTTGAAATGCAATCTTGCCTTTAAAACAAAATGGCAGCTCTGACATTTATTAAGAACAGTTTTTAACAATTTTTTTTGGGGGGGGTTGGACAGAAGCGTCATAGAAGTGATCGTGGTGTGAATAACAGAAAATGCAATGTATTGCTCAACAACAGGTATATTTAATTTGTATGATTATCACTCATAATGTAATATACAGTTTTGTAATATTACAGTCAACTCTCGCCTAGTTACGGACACCCCGCTACAACAGACACCTTGATATTGCGGACAGTAAAATACTGAACCCCTGTGCAAAATACAGAGAAATGACAAAAAGTAAATCTCGTTACTACGGACTCTTGCTACTGCGGACACTACATGTAAATTACAATCACGAGGGTGTCCATAATAGCAAGAGTTGACTGTAGTGGGGACCGTCATAGCTTATTGAGATCTGTAGTTAACAATTCTCTTAAATCTTGAATGTAATCGTATAGTTCCCAGTCTCTCAAGTGGATGGAAGTTCATGTAGGAGATATTTTAAGGATAAACAACAATGAACAAATACCTGTAAGTATMTTTCTGTGCTTTCTGTACTTGTGATAAATGGAAAGATTTTCATTTGTACTGTTGTTCTCAACAGGCAGATATAGTGGTGCTTTCAACTAGTGAAGAAAATGGCTTATGCTATATTGAAACTGCTGAACTAGATGGGTAATTTAACTTATAAGTTTWGAACAGTGAAGAAGCAAAAGCGAATGCTTTTAATTCGTATCTGTGTGGATCTATACTTTGCTCATTTGCTYCACAAAAGAAATTCTTTTATTCTTTGGTTCCTTGATTGTCCCACTCTTCATTYATTTCTCTCATCTTTTTCTCTCCCTTATTGACTTATGGACAGTCTGCAGGAGYRYATTTATYGGTTGGGSTATCTGCTGCTRCTTGGTTCATAATTTGCTTGACCTCCAAATGGTTTTTCTTTTTTCTTTTATTCTCTATTATTCTGCCAAGACTGATGATCCTYGGAGTCCMTTCTTTGTCATTTTTGACGGACTATTGGATCTTGCATGAATTTCTTTTGGTCTATGKTTATTATTACCTTCATTTATTTACTGTTCATATTTTGGCTGTAGAGAAACCAACTTAAAATGTCGACAACCTCTACCAGAAACTGGAGAAATGGGAGATGATGAAAAACTTCTACAAGATTTTAAAGGTATGAAGGTTGCTTGTTGTGCCATCATGAATGAAAGACAATGGTGTCTTTACATCAGTAGTTKGGAGAAGATGGCTTGTGAGCTGGCAAGGACAGACATCTCAGAATGTACAATTTTACAAATTTGCAATGTGTTTGTATACACATAATACATCTCCTCTTGCAAATTGGCAAGCTGCATGGTGATATCATTTTGATGTTATATTTGATTGTTTGCAGTTGAGTTGAGCTGTGATCCTCCCAACAACCGACTTGACAAGTTCAAAGGAAAAGTTAACTTGGGTTATAAGGAGTTATCMCTGGACAATGAAAATGTGATACTTAGGGTAAGGGTAGAACTAATATCAAATCARCATTGCAGCCATTTTCATTGGAAGTGGAGTCACTTGCAGTCCAATTCAGRCATACGTGTAGCATTAGACAGCTGTCAATCAAACATTTGAAAGAGCTTTGTACCTCACTACTGGAGTATGATGTATGTACCACACCAACAGTGATTGGGGATATTCAAGATGTTTTATGTTGATAACATGAATTAAACTCAAACTGTGGTATCTTTACTATAAAAGTTACATGTTTTCCATAGGGTTGTGTGCTTAGGAATACTGACTGGGTGTATGGTGTAGTAGTCTATGCTGGACAAGACTCTAAACTCATGATGAACAGTGGTTAGTACACAGGGAATTTTTTTCAGTGATAATAATATTTAGCAGTTAATCAGCACTGTCAATCCTCTGGACTATTTAACATTTTCATGCAGAAGCGCACATCATGATTTTTCATAAAATCAATGTCTATTATAACTAAAACGAGCAGAAATGATTATCAATAGTCAGCTAATCTTTTATGAAAATGCTACACGAACGTTCAAAGAAAAAATACACAGCATTGTCATGATTAGCAATTGTTTAGGCTTTACACTGTGCTATGGCCTTCCTGTGCAGCAAGTATGGAGTGGACAGGATACTAGACAAAAAAACAGATCATTTCAGATTCAAATGAATAAGGTACCACTGAATTGCCACTCCATGGGGATCAAATGGCATAAGTGTAATTCTAAATTTCGTTGTTTCCCTATTTATATTTATTTTTTTATTGTTTCTAAAGGTTATGGTCTCAAAAGAGGCAAAAAATTAGGTTGACAGGAAAATTTGTATTTGCTTTGAATCATGTAAACATGCTGTTAATATGTCATGAAATTGTTCAGTAATCATAACTATTTCTACCACTTTTTTGTCACACAGGAGTAAGTAAATTTAAGAGAACAAATCTTGATAAACTTCTCAACAAGCTCATCATAGGGGTATGTATGTGTCTAGCACATCTGCTTGCAGAATTTCAAACGTCATTTCATTCTTTGTTTGCATTCTAGATTGCTGGATTGCTGGCTACTATTTGTATTCTGCTGTCAGTTGGAACAACWCTTTGGGAACATTTCATTGGACAGGTATGTAATCAGGCTAAGTTATAAATGCAAGTGCAATGTCAGTTAGAGAACATCAGTGCGCTATTGGAAAGCTTCCAAGGAATGTTGCTTAAATTTGTACAATTGAATTGATTGATTCAAAAGATAAAAGACCAACGACCATGTTGGAGGAATGAACAATAGATACAAACGAGAAATCCTTTGCTGAAGTTCCCCCAAGATGGCCGCTGTGACGCAACTTCAAAACGAAGAATAGTCCATGTTTGATATTCCAGTTGAATACTCCTGCACAAAAGGACTGAAAGTGAGAGAAACGAAAGGATTATTCTTTCCCTAAAGCTTCGTCTCCAACTCTTTTGTGCGTGGTCATGTAGTCAACYAATATCTTCGCTATAATTTTCTAACATGATTTTTTGCCCATTTCACAGTATTTCAGAGATATTCTACCTTGGTCGTCGTTCTACAAGAACAATGTGGTGATCATTGGTATAGTACACTGGCCATCGTTTATAATGGTTCTTAATACACTCATTCCTATCTCACTGTACATCAGGTAATCATTCATTTC